CAAACATGATACGAAAGGGGATCCGCTCATCTAGACCACATTTTGATCATCCGGGCTTATCGCTTTGGTATTGCTTCATGTAAAGCGAAAACAAAGCCAAGAAACGGATTTCCAGAGATTTCGTCTGACAAGGTTGCACAGTAGATTTGAAGCAAATGATTGAAGTGTACATTGTGAAGGTATCGCTTTTGGCGGGTCACTATATCGCTTTACAGGTTTTTTGGATGATTCAAATAAAGTAGCTCCTCTCACATACAGATTTGTGCACAGACCCTTCAGAACGTTGCTCACCTGCAGAATACACATGATTGCTTACCCAAAATGATCCAACACATGAAGTAGGGGTAGGAGGGCTAGCTGGAGCTACACGGAGCTGGCCTCTCAAACACTCGTTGCACATTAGGACCATGTTTCTGGCCTGGGATGCCCTCGCAATAAGTCAAGGAGTACTCTAGTGTGATGGGCAGACGTGCGTGGTTGGACAACCACAGCCATCCGGTTCGATGCAGCTCCCTGGGAATACTAACCATATCTTACGACCCAAACAGAAATATACTTGAGTTCAAAATAGTTCAAGTGGTAGACGACCTCTGTCAGCATCCCAAAACTAAGCAAGATAAACCAAGGCCAAGATTACTCCATTTCCCGAACTCCACATGCTCCGCTCTTGCCTCGCCCCTGTCTTTCAATACCCCCGGACTCCCGTCACGACCGATGTGCGCTCAGGTCACATCTTCAAACGCCCGAAGGTCTGCTCGATCATCTCCAAGACGCTCTCTAAGCGGCCCAACCTTAGAGAAAATACGAGCCATGATGAGCCATGGGCTGGAGTCACCCAGCCCAAAGGGTGGAGAAGTTTATCCAACCATACGACGGGTTGGATAATGTTTTTCAATTACGCCCTGGAAGATTAACATGGAACCTGAGAACCACTGGCTTGTAGAGGAAATTAAATAGTCTTCCAAAGGTCCATTTTCAGGTTCCATGTTAATCTTCCCGGTGTAGGAAGAAATCATGTAAAGGGTCCTAAGGGAACACACAATATGATAGAATATCCACAGTCTTAAAAGAACGTGCGGCCACTCTGCAAGCAAGGTGGTGAGCGGGAGACCTCGGACTGTGACCTAAATGAGTACGTTAGGACTTGGCAACGGCAACGCTGCGACTGCCCAGGCGGCGGCCGTATCAAACCTTTGACGTTGACATAGACGAGCACGAAGCAACTCGGTCTCGGACAAGGCTTTCTTGAGATCCTTGGCATCTGCCTACGAGAAGATGAGAAGTGACTCCGAAGGTCAAACAGTCATGAGTTCTGGCAACTAGGTTTATGTAGGTGTTACTTTTTTGCTTAGGGGGGTAGGCTGCGAGGTGGTAACTTACAAGTAGCTACTGTAACAAGGTTCAGGAAGTAAGCTACTAAGCTAGGAAGCTACTACCGATCGGACGCGGGCTGGCCAAGATCTTACTGCAATGATTTGGTTCCTAGACTTTTTAGGAAATTAAAATGGTTTGTGTAGCTAATGTGTCTGGCAATTGGTTGCGTTGTTACTTTGGTGTGCAGCAAGTACAGTTCCTTCTCATCTATTCTCAAACATCATGATTTTGGTGACTCCAAATATAAACGATGCCATCTCGCGCAACTCTGATGGTGCTCGAGTTTGCTTCAGAAAAAAGGGAACTCAAGTTAAAACCAAAGTGACCAGCAACTATGCTTGAACAAACTGCTTGTCCATGCTTGCCCCAGCTGTACAAGTTTGGGATTGTCCAACGGCCATTTGCCATTCCTCTTCTCTCTCGCTCTCTCTCTCTCTCACTCTCTGCCTCTTCCACGGCAAAATTGAGATCTCTTTGCGATACCCGTCTGATCGGAACGAGCTTTTCGGCCTTGCCACTGTCCAGGTCACCGGTGTAGACGCTGTCGACGCCTCTGCATGCAATACGTCGGGTTTGGTGTCCAAAGAGAGCAAAGGGCAACATAGGCCATGTTCTATAAGACATTCTTATCCAAATATGTTATTTGAGTACATCCGGTGGTACGAGTAGTACATGATCAATGGAAGAAGCTTCTTGAATTGCACATGACTTGTGAGCCTGGAATGATGAGTGATTACATCATCGAACTTCGAACGCTACACAAATGTGTATTACTGTACAGTAGGCTGACCACGGAGTTTGTGTTGGGAGGAATCTGCAATCTCCCAGCGTCATTTCCAGTCCAGAGATCTGTTGCATGCGTGTCCAAAAACTCACACTCTCTGTCCGTGTTGACCAGACTCTGTAGTTTGGGTTTGTAGTACTTGAGAGGAGGGAGACACGAAAGGTAGGACAGCGGGAAGAGAAGAGAACGCGAGAGGCAGGAACAAAAATGCAATGTTCGACATGATGATTTATCCCCTCGGAGGCGACCTTTCGTGAATATAATTTCATACGCACTCTAAATGTTCAACAATATGCTCTCGAAATGTTCAAAAAGATTCTTAGGAAAACAAACTTGCCCCATGGCTCAGATCATCGGTGAGCATTGAATCGGAGCATCATAGGATTTGAACTATCCTGAAACCATAAGAGGCTCACGAAGACGTTCCTCAGGAGAGAATTGACGTGCTTCACAAAACAAACTCTAGGTATGTATCCCCTCGGGGAACACCTTTCGTGATTAGAATTTCATCTGAATGTTCAAGAGGGTTTCAACTATCCTGAAATCATGAGAGGCTCACGAAGACGTTCTCCAGGAGAGAATTGAATTTAGAGGGCGGGGGTCGGCAAGGGGGCGGGGGGGGGGTCTGTATTGAGAAATCAATTCGAGGGGGGGGGGGTGAATTGAATGATCAATTATTAGACCCGGACGCGCCAACACTTGCTTCGCAAGACAAACTCAAGGTATCCCCTAAAGGGCTACCTTTCGTGATGACTGCAATGTTGTAGCACAAACTGTTTCACTCAAGCTGCAAACTCAAGGTAGTTCTTGCAGCAGAACATGTTCCACAGTAGGCATGGGACAGGATGGGAACGCGATACTCTGGTTTGCCTTTGTCCAGCTGTTGCCAGTCTAGCCGAAAATCTCAGCCATACCATGAGCCAGTAATGTGATGGGTGCCGTTCTGTGCCATCCCCCCAAACAATCCACCTTGACATTCCAGCTTGTGAGCCTGCCAGCCAGAATGGTGCAGTTGGGAAGATCCGTGGTGTCACATGTTTTGTCTTATGCATGCGCAAGCTAGTGTCACAAGGTGCATAGTCAATTACAAACTTTGGTCTATATAAGGCACCTACCCACCGAAATGGATTTTCAAACCCGATTTTTAACAGCATTGAAATCAGCATGAGCCCTACGATTCAGCGTGTTCGCCTGTGCTTCCAATTGTGCCAACTCTGTGCGAACTTGGCCACGCTGCTCCTCGGACGCGGCCCATTGGCTGGAGTGAGCAGAGAACGTTTTGAACATCGCGCCTCTTGGCGCATGTTGTTTTGACTACGCAAACCACATACGATTGTTGTTTTAGCTGTTTTCCCTTGTTTGTTCCTGGACAACATCAACTCTTGGATGTAAACCACATTTACAAAACATATATTCTGTGTTTTTGAACCACTGTATATACGGTATATACATTGAATCATCACTGCGATTGATTGACCTGCTAGAACCCACTAGAACAATCTAGAACATAGTACCAAAAAGCAGAGACCGGTGTCTCAAAAGCTGGGCCTACCTAGCTGCTACATACCGCTTGGAACACCACTAATTAGATTTTTCTCTGGAAACACAAGCATGTCTACCCCTAAAGTACAAACAGAATACTCCACATCTAGTCTGAGATATCTTCATGTTGTGACCGAGTAATTATCCGAAAAGAGTCTAAATTCTGAGGATCCTTCGGCTTGCCTTTGAGACCGCACATCCGCTGAAAGCACCCCCTTTTGCAGCGGAGAGTTTCCAGGAACCCGGCAAACACTCTCTGAACTCCAGGTACCGAGGATGGGAAAAAGGACGCAGTCGAGTCTTCACAACTTCTCTCTGCTGTGGTCTGCGCTGTTCAAAACATGTACAGGCCGGTGCATGGGAGAAAGAGTGGAGCTATGGGTCAAGAAGTTTTTGCTACTACATCTCTGGACATTCAAAAGACCAGAAGAAAGTCAAGCCTGACACATCAGGTCAGAACTTGGGAAGAGGCTCACCGTGGCCTGCCTCGGGTCAAGATTGTGGGAGGACAGCGCGGGGGTGACACTTCTCCCAAACGTATGTCTGTTGAGAACGGCTCTCAACAGCGGCAAAGGAGATGCTTGGTGGGGAGTTACTCTGCAGTGCAGCTTGCAAGCCCAGTGCAGAATATATATATATATATCTACACAGTACATATCAGTATGTAATCATATTTAAAATCAAATACAACTGCTTGGTCTAACGCCGGCTTTTCAAACACAGCCTGAAATTCCCCATTTAAGCAAAAGGCTACAAGTTTTCCGGACATAATGGAACCATCTCTTCACCAACGGTTTCGGCCTGATCCTCAGGCTTCGAGTTTGGAGAGCTCGACCGTGGCCTCCGCCGCCAGCGCCTTGAACCGCAGGGCCTCCGCATAGTCGCGGGCCGCCTAGGTGGTCTGTTAAAGACTTTGTCTGAAGACATTCTTCTTTGTCTGAAGACATGTAGGGTGATCACGAGCTCGCCAAGAGACTTGTGGCATGATGGCTGAACCCTGCATTTTGTTGTGTTTGACTGATTGTATAGATTGCCTGGTCCGGTCAGCAAAGGCTGCATGCTTGTGATCAGGTAGTAAGTAGGCCAAATAATTACCAGTGGCTAATACAAATTTCAAGACCTAAGCTAGACTCAACTGAACCCCTTGCAACAGTGTTTAGGCTTAATAAACTTAAGCATTAGTTGAGGCAAAAAGAGGGCCTCCTTTCAATGGCAACCCAGTGTGGACCATCCGCGCAAAGAGACTGCCGAAAGGCCTGAGACTCGTCATCAGTCATAGACATTTTCTACTCACCATGAGTCATACGATCTCAACTGCCACATTCCGAGACACCTTTCCAACTAGGCGCCGCAGTTCTATTCTCTTCCTCCCAGGCGCCGCAGCGATCTTCTCTGAGGACTCATAGTGCTGGATCTCCTCGCGCAGTTTTCGCTTCCGCAGCCAGTTGACCTCGTTCAGGCCGATTGGGTGGGGCGATTTGTGGCCCATCGTGGGCGCACCTGGAGGGTGCACCTGACATCAGAAAAGGTACAGAATGAAGTCTAGAAGAGGAAATACATCTTACCCAAGAAAATGTGGATGAGCTTCCTTTTCCCCACTTCCATGTTCTTTTCTGGTGGGACACCACCTGAATTTAGTGGGTGGTGTGTGATGTAATTGTCAAACTCGCCACCGACATGATCTCGCAAGGACTGCAGGAAAGGAATCCTTGAAGAGCTGTAGTGAGCCTTTCACATATCCTTCATGCAGCCACCCTCTGCTCTTGTCCAACAGGTGAAACAGTGAAACTTTCGCGCAAGACAGGCATTGGAATGCCTTCAAACTCAAGACTTCCGTGTCGGCAGCGCAGTTTTTGCATCAAACAAAGGCTGTGACTCTTCTGCCTTTGGATGATTACACATTTGAGGTATGTTCATATATTTTCATTGAGGGGCAAGGATCTGGTGACACGAATCACTCAACAGGGAGGTCTGGTTTCAATTCTTTGAAGCCGTGTGACATAATTTGGCAAGGCCTCCTCCCTATCCGAGCTCTGTTGCAGGAACACATAGGCGTGAGTGCCAAAATTTGGCATGCTCCTTAGGGCAAAGAGGAAATCCGAGTTTGGACTGACTCTTCGGGGGCTCTGAATGTTGAATGGCCAAGCGAAGGATGCTAAGGATGGTGAGCTTCTCCATGTGACTTACTCAGAGTTCAAAGCAACTTGTGATTCGAATGATGATCGTCTCAACACTTTGCTCTTGCTAGGTGGCTCTAAAGTATCATGATGCTGGCGGTTGTCATTTGCGTTTATACACTGATGATATTGATGTGTGATCCATAAGCAAGTCTCCGAGAAGAGTCCAATTGCTCCAATTTTGACGTGTCCTGAATCTCATAGTAGTATATACATGCTGCTTTGTTAGTACCCCAACAGCCCTAGAGTATGTACTCAACCCTCCTGGTTTCATCATCACAGATCCTCACCGACGCTCCAAGTTCAGGGCACATCAGGTGGAGTGAACCGCCCAAGTACTCCGCATAGAGCCGGGACAGGGGCAGTCCGACGCCATAGCCGCTGAAGGGCGTGGGGCCAGCGGTACCCTATGGGAGACGCATCGGGAAGGGCTTAACATTGCTTCATGATTTCATGGAGGCTGAGGGAAGAATGAACATAGAGGGACAGCTGTATAATTGTATATGACTCGTGCTTGCTAGTGACTCGGTGTCATGGCCAGGTCCAAACAGAGGATCGAAGAAAACATCTGCTTAGCCCAAACGGGCCTTGTCGAGGATCCTCCCAGTGTCGCCGCAAATGCGATTCCCCCTGACAGGGGAGACTTCGAGAAACGAGCTCAAGAAATCAACAACTTGAAGATTCCCCAGCGAAGCTAGACTTTGATTTTGGAACCCCTGGAATTCTATCACGTCCAAATGCATACGCTGAAGATCGCTGAAGTATCTCTGTGTCATCCACAGCCCCTCTCACATGCACAATGGATGTCGTTATGGCAATTAGAAGGTGGGGCTTTCCAACAACCTTGGAACACAGTCGAAGCACTGATAAGTTACACGTGCTTGGATAGAAAACAATTGGTGATATGATATGGATGGATGTAGTGTTCAGCAAACCTTAGAGCCAGGCCTGGCAGTGGAGTACATGTAGCCTCGGCGGATTAGGGTGGAGTTGATCTCCAAAGCTTTCACAACATTTCACAACTGGTCCAAGCCCCAGCATCGGCAACTCTCCGACCTTGTGGAGCTTGCAGTGGTTCTGCTGATATTCAATGGATGCGTTTCTTTACAAGTTGCAATCAAAGAAAATTAAGAAAAACACAACAACCTTTGCTGGCAAGAATTGAACACACATGAGCACCATGCACGGTTGGACCTAACTTGAAGTTGTCCGATCATCAACTCATCGTCCCAAGGCCCAAGGCCAAGAAGCAGGGCTGCAACCTTTCTCAAAACTACTTCTTGTTTGTTCAACCATTTCGATTGAAACATGTTAAGTCACGCAGGTATTGCTCAAGCTCCAGTGCAACTACAGCATCTCGTCTGCAAGCAAAAAAAACTAACCTCCATGAACCTGTTCTTGCACTCCACGACTCTCAGATGAACCCAGCTCTCCCCATCGAAGTTTGAAACATAGAAACACCTCAGTCCTCTTGTATTGAGACTTTCTACATGCCTCTCAGGCCTCCCTCAGGCCTCAGTTCTCAGTCCTCTCCCCGTGGTCGGCGGGTAGGTCGAGCAGCTCCACACGTGCGGCTGGCGCTCGAAGGGAATCCCACCTCCTCGGTCCATGACGAGCAGCGCCACCTGAGTCTTGCACTGACCGGAGGTAACGTATTCGGTCTACTGAGAGTAGTCCGTTAAAACAATATGAGTGAACATGGTGAACATCGCAGACTCCTCTTGTTAAAAATAATAAGATGATTTTAACGATCTTTAAAAATGACCCCTGAGCTTTTAGACGAGGTCTTGAACGCCATGACCATACACTTGTGGAGCAAGAGAAGAGACAAAATTCATCGAAAGGTGCAAGCGGGCCAGGGATGTCCACGAGTGATCGACAGCTTCACTGAAGGATCCACTGCCATGGTGTGTTGCTACACATACAATGGAATACTGACATAGTTGACATTTTGTAAAGTGAATACAACTCTCATCCGGCAAAGTATTGATATAAACTATATGATATTCATATAACAAATCACCTCTTTTAGGACTTGCCTGAAAACTGAAATAGGCTGACTCGAGTTTCTTTTGTTTCTCCTCGTCTCACGGGCACTCGGCCTGCATATCATCGCTGGCCACACGGATCTGCAAGGGCTCTGGGGTGCCCTGGAGTCCTTGGGCTTGGTGTTGCTCCTGAGCAGGAAATGGTCGAATGGAAACCACATGGCCACGCTTCTCATAAAAAGAAAAAAACTAGCACCTTCATCTGCTCTTTTTTTGTGAGAAACATTGACAGTATGCCGTATGCCAGTATGACCGCAAAACCTCGACTACGCTCGGAACAAAACTGGAGTGATTTTTTTGACGGTGTTTTCACTCTTGTTGGCACATGTTGACATCCTTGCCCTGAACATGCAAATGATAGCCAATGTAGGGTTAACCTCACATGCGAAGTTTTACAGAAGGGCACGCCATGGGGCCTGCGTTTTGGACATATGAAATTACTAAAACTTAAGTTCATGGAATTGCAATGAATTTTGAGATATTGTAAAAATGATGCAAGCAACATCACCACAAGTGAGGACATTGTTGAAGGAAAATACCTTGGGAAAACCAAGGCAACACAAAAAGCACAACAAAAATCATTCTCAGAGTCTTTTGGCTGGGCCCCCCCCTCCCCAAGACTTCACCAGAATTGGTTTTGTTTTCCCAAGGCCTTTTTCTTTTTTTTAAATCTATATAATTGTTTCTATTGTAGTTTTCTTCCTAAAGCAATCTGAGCGATTCCTATCTCGTTCAATCTCCAAGCGTGTGAGCTGGACTCTCACCTGGAGTCTTCTGTTCTTTCCTCAAAGTGTCTGAGCCCAACACTCCCTTTGCCCTTGTTGATATGTCTATGTGCAAGTCTGCACGCATGAACTTCTGATTGGCACCAGTGCTGCTGCATTTCCAAGCAGATTGACATATGAAACTGTAGTTAACATGTGGAAGCTTTAGTTGTGATTCATTTCTAATTCAACACTAATTATAATCACATTCCAAGTCTGATTTGGTTCTACTTTAGATAGTTCCAATTCAGTTCTACTTTCTCTATAAACTACTTCTATTTTACGCCTCACATAGTTTTAATTCAATGGAAATGTTTCTAATTCATTTGTAGCTCAATTTCTAATATATCTCATTTAATCTATTTCTAGTTTTAATACATTTGGGTTGTATTTCAAGCCTAATTTAGTTCTATTTCACGCCTGTAGAAAAAATGTGTTTGGGTGCCAATTTGGGCGCAACTTTAAACTTCACTCGCTGTAGGGTTCTGACTTGTAGAACCTGCGCTGTTGGCTCACGCTCAAAGCTGGGCGGCCTCTGCCAGGGCTGGAACCAAGTCCTGGGTCCTGGTGAACTTTCTTCAGTTGGGCAACAAACTGGTCGGCAGCTCGGACAAGCGTGGGCTGTCCAGCAGGCTCCGTACCGTGAACGCAACGCAGGACTTCATGTAACTCGCAATTTCACTGCTGGGTTCAAACTTCTGTGCATACTTCGTGAAGCATCTCACCCAAAACTCAGCAAAAGCTGGGCTGTTCTTGTCCGTCGACAGAAAGCGACGAGCTTCAAAAGCCTAGAAGCGTTATTGTAGAAGTAGGAGGCCCAAGCAAATGAGGGGAGTGGAAAAAGGAAACACATACAGGGAAAACCACATTGTATTCAATGTTTTGCCCCTCTTTGGTGGCCTTCGCAATGCTTTCAAAAGTTCCCTCCTCTGCCTCGGAAATCTTTACTTCAAGAATGCGAGCCTTTGTTGCGGGTTGACCGTCATCGTCTCGTGTGGAGTAGGGCGCTGCGGCGCAGCATGGCTTGAGGCTGGCTCCCCTGAGCTGGAAAACCATCATGCGCGCTGCACTTGAAAGCTAGCGCGAAATAGGAAGTCACTGCTGGCCGGCGCTAATCAGTACAGGCAAGCGCTAGCACCTTCTTTGCCGCCGCTTCATTCACTGGAGCCCCATCGGCAGTCAATATGTGCGCTAAGCAAAGGCTAACGGATGTCCCACGCTGCAAAGCAAGCCCCTCCAGAAGAGCTCCTATGACTTCCAAAGTTGTAGTCAAAACAGCCAGCGCAATGGAGGCCGCATTTTCGCGACCCAAAGCCATGCAGCTCTGTTGCAAAATCAAATCCTGTGTCTGCAGCGTGCGCAGTAACCACTTGGTTCTGAACACTGGAGCGCATTCTGACTTCGACTTCCCACAAAAGATCTAACTCGCATGGCCGCTTTGTCGTGCACCTGGGCCAGGAGCACGGTTTCAGATCAGGATTCAGGCCCGTGACCATGTTTTAAAAAGTTTCTTCAACCAAGAAGCAGCTTCAACAACACTCTTTGGAGAAGCACTTCAACAGCCCAGCAAAGCAATCACGTGCTCTGGTGACACTCGTCCTGCCCATGGATATGTCAGGTCTGTCTTTGGCAGGAGAGTCTCTCTTAAATCATAAATGAACTCAAAGATTCAGCTGGTACACCAGCCCTGTGTGAACGAACTCACCGCAGTGATGTGATGCAAAAACCCTTGGCGCGGGTTCATGTCTTGTTCCAGCGCATGTTCAGCCACACACTGTCTTCTTTGCTGGTATTTCAAATGTGCTTGTAAAGAGCTCAGGGGCTTTCCAGTGGCCTGTCTCATGCCTGCACTTGTATTGGACATGTCAAACTCATGGTCCAAACATGCAAGAAACTCGTTGACGCGCTCTGCCACTGATTGGCAGCCTTCTGCTGCGCGTTCAGCCTGAAACGCCTGACCTAGGAAGTAGAAACGGTGTGCGGACTACCGCAAGACTAGAGTAATCACGTGGCATCATGGATGCAAACAAAAAGATTGAAAGATAGACTCGCAACATCCAGAAATGGTGGAACATGCGTGGCTTTATGACAAATTCGTTTTCATTACGACTTCACAACTGGTCTTTCCTTGGCCACGGATGTCTTACATGGAACTCATCATGGTTCGGAATGTCACATTCCCTGATCTTGCTTTCGACAAAAGCAATGGATAATACAGGTCACAACCTTACTCAAGTCTCCCATCACTTGCAACCTAAAGGATGACTTCTATGTTGACAAACTTTATCGTTTAAAAAATATATAAAGACTCACACCCGTTGTTTTTCACCCGCGCATGCAGTATTGTGTC